TAACTCAAAATGGAAAAAATATTTCTATTCTCCAAAACAACTAAGTTCCTATGTATGCTATAAAATTGTTGTATGTACATTTGTGTGTGGTAGTGGTGGCTCTCACTACTAAATTATGCCACATCTGAGCCATAATGTGACATAAGGAACTATGTCAAACTATTTTACTGACTTTCCCATTAAAATTATACCCATTAAGTGCTTTGTAATCTCAATAAGTAGAGGAATTTTTGTTGTTGTTTTTTGAGTCAGGGTCTCACACCGTCACCCTGGCTGGAGTACAGTGACAAGATAATGGCTCATTGCATCTTCAAGCTCCTAGGTAGGCTCAAGCGATCCTTCCACCTCAACCAGCAGGTGGGACTACAAGTGTGCACCACCATGCCTGGTCTTTTTTTTTTTTGTAGAGACCAGGTCTCATTGTGTATGCCCAGGCTAGTCTCAAATGCCTGGGTTCAACCCATCCTCCCACCTCGGCCTCCCAAAGTGTTAGGATCACAGGGTATAAGCCACCGCAACCAGCCCCTACAGCATTTCTTCTAACATCAGTGATATTGTTCATGGTACTGAGTGTTCTATTAGATTTTGTTGAACTAACAGCCATAATATTTTAATTTTGTCTGCGATTATATTCACTATATTGTATAGGCCAAAGGAGACAGTTTATTAATAAAGGCATATTTAGATCTAATCTTTCAGGCAGATGAGAAGCAGCACTGGCAAAGCAGTTAAAAAGTGTGGTCTCTGTTGCCAGACCCCCTGCATTCAAATCCTGTCTTGCCATTTAAATTTTGTTTTGTTAGCTGGGTTCGGTGGCTCAGCTTGTAATCCTGTGCCTTTGGGAGGCTGAGGTGAGTGGATTGCCTGAGCCCATGGGTTCGAGACCCGCGTGGGCAACTTGGTGAGACCCCATCTCTACAATAAATCAAAAATTAGCCGGACGTGGTAGCATGCGCCTGTAGTTCCAGCTGCTTGGAAGACTGAGGCGGAAGGATTGCCAGAGCCCAGTGGGTCAAGGCTGCGGTGGCTGGGAGCAGCCACTGCACTCCAGTCTGGGCAACAGAGTGAGACTACAACTCAAAAAAAAAAAAAAATTTTGTTTTGTTTTTTAAGAGACAGGGTCTTGCAGTGTTACCCAGGCAGTGATGTGATCATAACTCACTGCAACCCCCAACTCCTGGGCTCAAGCAATCCTCCCGCCTCAGCCTGTAAATAGCTAGGTCTATAGGCATGTGCCACCACACCTGAATAATTTCTTTTTCCTTTTTTATTGAGAGCGGGTAGGGATTGGTAGATAGGGGCTTTTACTTTGTTTCCAAGATGAATCTCAAACTCCTGGCCTCAAGCAGTTCTCCCACCTCAGCCTTTCAAGGGGCTGGGATTATAGACGTGAGCCACCACACCCGGCCCATATAAGTTTTAAATACTTTCAGTTATCTCATCTATAAAATGAGAGCTGTGTAAGACCGAGCCTGGCAGAATAAGCTCCCATTTTTATTTTAAAAATAATTATGTTCATCTCAAGACAGGAGATTATTCAATTGGCTTAACTAACTACCGCTCCTATGTTGGAGGTGACATTCAGCAGGAATGATGAAAAGGAGGATCCCTATTCCAGATATTTCCTGGCACCAGATTGCCCAAACTGCTGCTAGAATGGCTGCAGAAACCATAGCACCAAGCTAGTTCCTGTAGGGGCCACATCACCACGCTGTCAGGGTTCTAGGTCTCAGAACTGAAGTTCCACGGAGGCTCAGCTCCCAAAAGTAGTCTTACAAATTGGAGTATTGCTAGCAGCAGGTGGCCATAGTCTGAGGACTATGGCCTAAGTATGTACCAGACATTGGCCTTCCAGAATGCTTACACCACTACCAGGGGCACCATCTCCTATGCAGGCATCAGGCCAGCTCCAGAAGAGGACTATGTGAGGATGGGGCCTGGTGTTCCAGAGTATGTTAACTGGTATTTACCAGGGAAAGATGGGGTACAGGAATGCTGAATGCAAGTCACAGACTGGCTCTAGTGAGGGTGATGGAGTTTACTGATGGCGGTATATGTATGATAAGACTTTGGGGAAGGTTGACCAGAAAGATTAAACAGAATAGGTACTGTATTGCTGGAGCAATGTCTATGAGGACCCCCTTTATAGTTAACTGGATTGTGGGATTGTCCAAGAGACTGTGGGCAGGAAACCTAAGCCTAAAATTTTAGCCTGTGTTACTGCTGAGCTTTTATGGTGATGTAATATTCTAAGTAAATGCATACCCTATCTTCAGGTAGGAATTACATTTCCAAAAATAGTTTTTTAAGTTGAGGGTCTGTCTGTAGCAGTGTAGAAAGGGCAAATGCTTGAATAATACTGCTTTTCTGTTGGGAAGAAGAGGAAAAGTTACCCTAGTCTTTCTACTATAGTGTTGCTTTAGGACCCTATGATTCCTTGAGGAGCATCACTGATGTGAGTTACAAAACAGCTTATAGTAGATTATCATAAGACACTTAAAGAAGCGTTAAGCTGCATTGTGTCACAGTCCGTTTAGCAGAACACCTTGTAGTTCATTCTGTCAGGCAAGTGAATGATAAACATCAAACTAAAAGCTTACCATCAAGCTTCCATTTATAAAAAGCCATTATTCAGGTTGGGTAGAGTAAATTTGAATCCACCTCAAAGTCCATTTTATGCTTCGTTCTGTTCTTCAACAAGGGAAGTGATTTTCTTCCTTGTCTTTCCATCTGTACAATGGGTAGCTCATCATTCTAAGATTACACTAGGGTGTAGTGGGAACTTAACTGTGAGAAGCTGTGTAGTACAGTTTTAAAAAGCACTGGGGCAGGACACAGTGACTTAAGCCTGTAATTCCAGCACTTTGGGAGACAGAGGTGAGAGGATTGCCTGGGTTCAGGGGTACGAGACCAGCCCGGGCAACTTGGTGAGACCTCATCGCTACAATAAATAAAAAAAATTAGCCAGGCGTGGTGGTATGCGCCTGTAGTTCTAGCTACTTGGAAGACTGAGGTGGAAGGATCAGCTGAGCCCAGCAGATCAAGGCTGCAGTGGCTGTGAACATGCCACTGCACTCCAGCCTGGACAACAAAGTGAGACTTCGACTCAAAAAAATTAAAAACATTGGGTGGGACACGGTGGCTCATGCCTGTAATCCCAGCACTTTGAGTGGCTGAGGCAAGAGGATTGCCCGAGCCCAGGGATTCAAGATCAGCCTGGGCAGTTTGGCGAGACCTCGTCTCTATAATAAATCCAAAAATAATTAGCTGGGTGTGGTGGTGCACACCTGTAGTTCCAGCTACTTGGAAGACTGGGGCAAAAGAATTGCCTAAGCCCAACGGGTCAAGGCTGTGGCGGCCGTGAGTTTGCCACTGCACTCCAGCCTGGGCAACAGAGTAGAACTCCAACTCAACTCAAATTAAATTAAATTTAATTTAATTTAATTTAAATTAAAAAGCATTTGAATGTACAACTTTACACCTGGGGGATAGATACCCTTTTTTTGGCTACCTGCTCTTTTATTCCTCATGGTTTGAGGGGAATTAATCTGAGAAAATATTGAGCATAGGGACAGAAATCACCATCAATTTATCAGAAGTTTAGAGCTTAGAAGTAGTAATTGTAGCCATTTTTCTAGTTGGCCATCTTATAATTAAGGAACTTAACCAAGGTTACAGTGCTATTTGATAATTGTGGAGAATTATCGAAATGCTCAAATTGAGGGGGAGAGAATATTGTGATTTTTTTTTTTTTTTTGAGATGGGATTGCTCTGCTGCCCAGCTGGAATGCAGTGGCATTATCATAGCTAACTCACTACAACCTTGAACTCCTGGACTCAAGTAATCCTCCTGCCTTAGCTGGAACTACAGGCGCATATCATGCCTGGCTGATTTTTAAGTTCTTTGTGGAGATGGGGTCTTGTTATGGTCTCATACTCCTGACCTAAAGTAATCCCCCTGCCTCAGCCTCCCAAAGTGCTGGGATTACAGGCATAAAACAGTGTGCCCAGCTGTGATTCTTTAGAGTAATAATGAAGGCACGTTCTATAAACCTGTTTGTTTATCTCCTACATGAGTAATTAATGGGTGGTTCATAAAGGGATATAATTACAGTATATATGAGAATCATTAGAAGAGAGGGCCTCTCCAAGTTATATTAGTTTTCTCCATTGAAGAGGATGTCAGAATTCTGGGGAGGGACCAATATTGGGTAGGGAAGATGTAACTTTTTTTCTCTCAAAAACTGTTGTAGGCATATGGTTTTAAAAAAAAGAAAAAAGTTTAAGCTGTGTAGAGGGTTTTGGCGTAAACAATGAAAAGTAAGTCTCCTGGGAGCTAAACACTGGATAAACATGGACATAAAGATAACATGACTCTTATAAGGAGGAAGGAAGGAGGGGACTAAGGATTGGAAAACTAACTATTAGGTACCCTGCTGACTATTTGGGTGACAGTTTCAGTAGAAGCCTAAACCTCACTGTCCTGCAATATACCTATGTAACAAGCCCATGCATGTAGCTACTAAATTTTAAAAAATGAAAAAGATAAGTCTGCCCTAGAGGTAATACAGTGAACAGTTTACATGTGCTTCTAGAAATGTTTGGAAGCATATTATGTATGCTGTTCTGAACCCCTTGTTTTTTATTTAGTATTATTATATATGGTATATGTACCAATACATTAACCAGTCCCTTATCAATAGATGTTTGTTGCTTTTAAAATAGTGTAGCAGTAAACATCCTGGTGTGTCTTCAGGGCAGCCCAGGCATACCTACAGGATAAATTCCTGAACATGGAATTATCAAAGGATGTGTGTGTATTTGAGATTTTCATCAGTAACTGCCAAAGAGGTTGAATTTGTTTATATCAAATGTATGCATTTAGAAGAGCTCCCCTCGTATTTTTAGAAAATATATTCCTTCTACAGCTCTATTCAGAGTAAGACTTGATTTGAATCTAATAAACTCACATTGACTTTCCTATTTTCTTTCACCTGAAGCCTGTGCCTACTGCATTGGCTCAAGTGGATAGAGAAAAGATCTATCAGTGGATCAATGAGCTGTCCAGTCCTGAGACAAGAGAAAATGCTTTGCTGGAGCTAAGTAAGAAGCGAGAATCTGTTCCTGACCTTGCACCCATGCTGTGGCATTCATTTGGTACTATTGCAGCACTTTTACAGGTGGGTATATATCCATGCGTGTCAGTTTAGTCATGTTCATCACACTCATGTGTCTCTTTTTTTTTGCCCAGATTGTCTGAAGATTTTAGGAGGATGATTCTTTAAACATCAGCATTCATAAAACCTATTTCAGAAAACTCTAAGATTTTTGATAAAATGTAGATTCTTGGATCCTGCGCAGGAGATTCAATTTAGTCAGTCTGAGGTGGGCCCTAAAATCTGTGTTTAATAAGCACTTTCACCACCCGCAGTTGATTTTAATGCAGATAGTCTACATTTGAGAAACACAGATTTAGGAATACTAACTATAAATCTACGTGACAGGGAAGAAGGTGGAAAGTAATATGTAAAGATGGGTCCACTTGTGCATTAACGAATAAATAACTGAAAATTTGTTCAAACCTGATTGGTCATTGGTAGAGAATAAATTGATAACATAAAATACCAAAGCAGTGGAGTGATCATTCATTAAAGTATTAGCCCAAATTCTTTTTTTTTTTGGAATCAGAGTCTTACTCTGTTGCCCACACTATCACACCTGGCTAATTTTTTCATTTATTGTAGAGATGAGGTCTCACTAAGTTGCCCAGGCTGGTCTTGAACTCCTGGGCTTAGGCAGTTCTCTCATCTTGACCTCCCAAAGTGCTGGGATTACAGACTTGAGCCACTGCACCTGGCATTACCCCAAATTCTTTTTTTTCTTTTTTTTCTTTTTTTTCTTTTTTTTTTTGACTTGGAGTTTCACTCTATCACCTAGACTGGGGTGCAGTAGCACACTCACGGCCACCCCAGCACCAACCTTCTGGGTTCTAGTGATCCTTCCACCTCAGCCTTCCAAGTAGCCAGAACTACAGGTGTGTGCTACCACGCCTGGCTAATTTTTTATTTATTGTAGGGATGACATCTCACCAAGTTGCCCAGGCTGGTCTCGACCCCATGGGCTCAGGCAATCCACTCACCTCGGCCTCCCACAGTGCTGAGATTACAGGCTGAGCCACTGAGCCCAACCACCCCAAATGATTAATTTAACTTTTCAACTTTGTTGAGTAAAATCATATTCCATCCCTGCTGCATGTAGCCAAGAAGCTGATCTTTGTTACGGTAACATTTTTCTATGGAAAATAAATAGACTTATGTTCAGCAGATCTTCACTTTTTGACAGACTACATACATTGCCTTTATACATATCCCCACTCATAGATCCAGGTCATTTTTGTGGTTGCTACCTAACCAAACTCAAACTTCTTTATGATTCAATATGATTGATTTGCTTGCAAACTTTATGGTTGGTGGTCTCATCACTCTAACTTAAAGTAAGATTGCAAACAGGAAGTATAAAAATATAAGGGATCCTCAGGTGTCCCAACAGCTGCAGAGTGTAAGAGGAAGTATAGGTGACCGCATTTGCCCCATAGAAATATCTTCATAGGGACAAATACAGAAGCAACTAACTGGTTAGTCTCAGTCAAGTATGTTTGTGATGAAAGGACAGGAGCATTTTCTGTTTGTGCTGACTCTTCGATGATTGAATTCTTGCAAGGTATGTGAAATTAAGAAGGTTTTTTTTAAAAAAACTTTTATCTATTCCTTGTTCATCTGGTGCTGATTTTCATTTTTTAGGAAATTGTAAATATTTATCCATCTATCAACCCACCCACCTTGACAGCACATCAGTCTAACAGAGTTTGCAATGCTCTGGCATTACTACAATGTGTGGCATCACATCCAGAGACCAGGTAAATGCTTTGGTTGTATCAGTGGCGGGAGGCTTATATTGAATACAATCCTAAGCTGTTCCTGAATAATGAGAAAAAGGGTATACAGGTGTGCGTGTGTGTGTATCTTCAGGACTCTTTCTAACTTTTTACTTAGTGACTTTTAAAGGAGCAGTGTTCATATCACAGGAGAGGTGTCAGGGATACAGCCACTTCTCCTTCTCTGATTTATAATAAACTCTATGTCATGTGTCAATACAGTACATGGCATATAATAGGAATTTGGTAAATTTTTTCCAGCACTTTTTCCCACCACTTCCAGATTTAACTTCAGAATCCTTCTTTTTTTTTTTTTTCATTTTTGAGTTGGAGTCTCACTCCGTCGCTCAGGCTGGAGTACAGTGGCACGCTCACAGCCACCAGCCACTTCTCCTTCTCTGATTTATAATAAGCTCTATGTCATACGTCAATACAGTACATGGCATATAATAGGAATTTAGTAAATTTTTTCTAGCACTTTTTCCCACCACTTCCAGATTTTAACTTCAGAATCCTTCTTTTTTGTTTTTGTTTTTGTTTTTAAGTTGGAGTCTCACTCCATCGCTCAGGCTGGAGTACAGTGGCACGCTCACAGCCACCCCAGCATTGACCTGCTGGGCTCCGGCAATCCTTCCGCCTCAGTCTTCCAAGTAACTGGAACTACAGACGCACGCTACCATGCCTGGCTATTTTTTTATTTTTATTGTAGAGACGAGGTCTCGCCAAGTTGCCCGGGCGGGTCTCGAACCCACGGGCTCGGGCCATCCACTCGCCTCGGCCTCCCAAAGTGCTGGGATTACAGGCTGAGCCACTGAGCCCGGCCAGAAG